CTACAATAAGTGGGTACAAAAAACTATTTATTCACATAATTTTGTTTCTTTCTCTTCGATGTGGGACTATGTGAAAAGGTAATACTTTAAAACGTTCATATATTATATATTTTGTTAACAGTTTTATTAACTATATAAGTTGCAAGTGCTATACTGGTTACTGTGTGCTCTCATTGTGTGGATGGATGCGGGTTCAATTCTTCTCATTGAGGAATTATTTTTTTTCCTTTTTTTTTGTCAAATTATTTTCTTATCAAAAAAATTAAAGGTTTTTTTGTAAAAAAAAAATAAACGGTTCTTATCAATTTCGTTATTTGTCAAAAATTTTTCTTATCAAAAAAATTAAAGGCTTATTCTAAAAAAATAAAATAAAAAGGTTTTTATCAATTTCACTTTTTGTCAAATTTTTTTTTTTATCTGCAAAATAAAACTTTCGTATAAAAAAAATGAAAGGTTCTTATCAATTCCTTTTCTTGTCAAAAAAATAAAAGGTTTTTGTCAAAAAAAATGAAAAATAAAAAATTATTGTCAAAAAAATAAAAAAGTTCTTATAAAAAAAAATACAACAAGTATTTTTGTCAAAAAAAATTCATTTCTTATTTTTGTTAAAATAAGTTCATATTTTTGTAAAAAAAACTCATTTCTTATTTTTGTCAAAAATACAAAAAGTATTTTTGTTAAAATAAGTTCATACAGAGAAAAACTACTCAATATTCACATATTGATGAAAAAAATGAAAATTAATAATGTAGTACCCCGATTTCTTATTGAATTATTTAAAAACAACATTTATAATGAATTTTAATATTTTTTTAAAACTTTTTTAAAACTTAATCCGATCAATTCAGTTGATTTCCAATCCGAATCGTCAATTCATTGATCCGAAAGGATTTTTGGGATGTCCAATCTGGGGCACCGATGTGCTTTTTAAACCGCTCGATAGCACCATTAACGTTACTTCCCAAGCCTAACTAATAATAAAAGAAGAAGGGAAAAGAATTTCATCACATTTTTACTTCGAGTAATTAACTTCATCACACATTTTATTTGGAAAAAGTTATGGCCATGATGAAAGAGTGGTCATCGCCATGCAATCAGTGGCCTGGACGGTGATGGTGTGAGGATGAGACCTACATGTTTGATGGGACCCAATCGACAACTCTATCACACTCTCGGACGGCTTCGATTCCTTGCAATAAATGGTTTGGAACCAGTGTTTTAAATCCTGTGTTGGCGGTGACCGGTCATTTGGTTTGGGTCGGCGAACAGTTGACATGGATTGGCAAATCAGACCAATTCTCTAATGTGAGAATTTTAAAAATGAAAAGAACAAAAGATAAAAGGCTGTGGTTAGCATGCGGCTGAGCCCGCACATGTAGAAATGCATACCCCTTAATAAATTTATATTTGAAATGGAATTCGATCTTAGATTTTAGAGAATAAATAAATTTTAATATGGAAATCATAAATATGAATAAATAAATAAAATTTGAAAACTAAAAATAATAAAGATGGATGCTTTCAACCTTTGAACCACATATTGTCCAAAGGACTTAGTTTCTATGCGGACAAGCTCGCATATGCCTATGAATAAATCTATTTTTGAGATGGATTTAAGACTTAATTTTTAAAGACATGTGATCTCTAACATGGAGATCATGAATATGAAAACATAAATAAATTTTAAAAACTAAAAATAATAATTCTAGTAAAAACACATTTG